AGAAATGCAAACAGTATATAAGGCACTAGAGTAAGATATCAAAAGAACTAAAGTGTGTATATATCTGCATATGTGTCAACATATATGTTTGGCCCTGCGCATCTATGTATGAGTTTTGCATTCGTGGATTCAGCCAACTGCTGATTGAAAATACTCAGGAAAAAAAAATCACTTCTCTACCGAACATTTATAGACTTTTGTCATTATTCCTTGAACAATGAAGCATAACTCCCTGTAGTGCGCTTACACTATTTTAGGTATGGCAGGTCGTCTACAGCTGACTTGAAGCGTATGAGAGCTGTCCAGCTCAGCCCCACACTGCTGAAGCAGGAGTCCTTGAGCCCTGAAGTTCAGCTCCTGTCAGCTACACAGCAAGACCTATATCTAAAGATATTCTTAAATAATAAAATAAATGGGAGACTATGCACAGGTTATATGTGCAGTGAGCCTTTATATAAGGGACTTGAACAGCCACAGATTTCAGTTTGTGCAAGGGACTCGTGGAACGAGTCCATGCACCCTGAGGGACAGCTGTGTTTATATTTCCTTATGTGTACGAGTGTATTGCCTCCATGTGTGTGAGTGCACCTGTGTCATGCGATGCCGCGGAGGTCAGAAGAGGACATCGAATTCCCCTGGAACTGGAGTTAAGGATGGTTCGTAGCCGCCATGTGGGTGCTGGGAATTGAATCTGGGTCCTCTGCACAAGCCATCTCTCCAGCCCCTATATTTCTTAAAGTTACATTTATTATTTGTTTGCTGTAGTTTGTAAGGAAGGTATTTTGCCCTCAATTTGGAGATGTAGAGGGGGAAAGAGGTTACGTAAAGTGTTCAATACTGCATCTAAGAAAGCAAAAATCTACATTAAATTAAATCTGAAAAACTATCTTTTCCTAATTGTTAAGTACAGCTAGGGTTTATTAAATGGCCTTAAGGATACCCCAGATGTACAAACTTAGTTGAGATATTAAAATACTCCCTCTGTACTAGAACACAAGCCCAAAACTTTGTTTTACAACAGGGTCTCACTTCATTCCTCAGGCTCATCTCCAACTCATGGGCTCAAGCAGTTCTCCTGCCTCAGCTTCCTGAGTAGCTGGGACTTAGAGGTGTGTGGGCTATACCTGGCTCCAACACTGCAGAGCTTCTTCAGCTCCGAGTCTCTCATTATGTTGCAGGTAACTCAGGTCCAGCTGGGAAGGATCCCCTTGAAGACTCAGCCTCCTGGATGTTGGCCTGAGGCCTTCCTCAGATCCTTCCCCTGCATGCCTGTCAATTGAGCATTTTACAACATAGCAGCTGGTGTCCTCAAAGCATGCCAGCAACAGGGCAGGAGAGCAGGGCATTCTGGGTCTTGGGCCTTCAGAACCTGACCGTCACTTTCGTCCTACTCTCTGCATGAGAAGCAAGCACTTGGTCCACACTTGGGGAGGGCCCTCCACGAGGGGGTAAATACAGAATAGAGGTGTCAGAGCCATGTCTCCAAGAAGTCAGACCTGACAGCAGAGTTAGTTGGGCTGTTCAGTTTCCTCTTCTCACTTGAACCCCTGCCTGGTTTTTATTCTGCTTGGAGTGAGCTCTAACCACACCTGCTAGTACAGTTCAAACAGGAGCCATTTGTTTTTGATGGTCCTTCCCCTTCCTGGGATAGCCACTGGACATGCATGCATGTGTTATTTGTATTGGGTGTTGGACTCAGTGCAGAATATTGGAGAATGAGAAAGTTGTTACTATGTTAATATGTAGAATCAGATGAAGAGATACATTACTATTTCAGTGTGAACTAGTAAAATATTTAATAAGCCTGCTCTCCTTGTAAAAGCACTTGACTGAACTGTTGTCCAAAAGATCTGTAGGGCATGTTTCTGGGTAAAGAGCACTTTCTTCAGCTTCTCTAGAACCTATGCTTATAAGCCCTTACTGCACTTACCCCAAAGCACAAGATACAGCCTAAAATACACCTGAATTTTTCACAAGCCATTTCCATAGCTTTAATGGATTATCTGTACCTGAAACACTCTAATAACTTCTCTAAAAATAGATTCTAGACTATTTTAAAGACAGAAAAGTACATACTTTCCATATTCGTGCTTGTTGTTTGCCTTAAAACACAAAGCCTGCCTGACGGACAGTAGGCTGAGTATAAGATACATTGGCAAAGCAGAGATACCAAAGTAAGCAGAGCCTTGGGCACAGGAGGACTGTCCAGATATCTGTCCTCCCAGGAAGGAAAGCTCCATGCTGCTTTGGGTGATGGAAGCTCTCGCTGTCAAGTGATGAGTAAAGAAACCCATGGGGAAGAGGAGGCATAGCTTTGTTTATGACCTTTTAGCCTCCCAGAGAGAGGAGTTAGTTGCAGGGGCTTGGTAAGGCTGAGGCCAAGGTAAGACACGTTCTCCTGCAAGGAGTGGTGTGCTTAGGGCAAGGGCTGCACATCACCCTGCACTCCCTAGCCGCTCCCATGGCAGCATCAGCAGGACCTAGCTCCTATACAGCCCTAAAGGGACAAGTCTTTCTTTTCTCACAAGGCAACCCTGGGAGGTCCAAGCGCTGGAACCTCCTGATCTGAGACTTTAAGGAAGAACTAAGGGTACTTAGTGGTTTGGCTGCTTTCCCCACAGAGCAAGTTCAGAATGGCTGCTGCTCCTCGGGTGAATCACTCTGGGTCAGGTCCACTGCAGTATTGTTGAACAGGGCTTCTGCTCTGACTATGGTGCCTGCAGTGTTGCTGGCAAACCTCCGTTCTGCATTCTGCATCCCCTCTGCAGCAGACACTGTGCACCCATTGTATCATTTGTACCCCTTGCAGGAAAACTCTAAAAGGAAGATAATGTGTGCTCTCCTTTACAAATGAGGAAACTAAGGCCCAGAGGTGAAACGGAAACCTTGGGTTTAAATTCAGCCTTGTCTGGTTATAAATCCGTTTCTCATCATATCACAGTGCCCTTGGAGAAAGCATTCCTTCCTCAAAGCAGCAGGTTCCGGATTGCAAGGAGAGGAGCGGTGTCCACCCATGGCCTCATGGGAAGGGTGCTTCTGGGCCACTCCCTGATATGCATCTTTCCCAAGAGCATGTGAAAGCACCTGGCCCAGGCAGTGTCATAGGGCTTGATAGAAGGGAACAGTGGTCTGGGTTTTGAGCAGCACTGTGTTACCCACCTAAAACATGGAAGGTGGAAAAGGTGAGCAGGCAGGCTTCAGGCATGAAGAAACAGCACTAGAAGGGATCCGTCTACTGAATACTGCTAAGCCATGAGGTTTAACCTGAGTCTACACAGTGGAGAGCTGTCAGAAGGTGAGGATGTGAATGGGACGCCCTCTGCTGTTCAGTGTATTTCAGGCACGAGTAGGAGCTGCTGCTGCATGCATTCAGTTCACCAGAAGTACCTTGTTTGCATAGTACAGTCAGTCCATGGAGGCCAGTCTTCTAGAATGTTCCTCATACTTTCTGCAGCAAGGGTGTTTATTCGTTCACTCCATGGGATGTTTTTGGTGGTGGTGTAAAGGTCATAAATCATTTTATTCTCTTTTATGCCAAGCCCCACCTGTGTTCAGATTTTGTGTGGTTTGGAGGGTTTATTTTTGTTGTTGGTTGGTTGTTTTTGAGATCGAGTCTTACTGTGTAGGTCTGGCTGGCCTGTAATTCAGAAATCTACTTGCCTCTGCCTCCCTCCACTAAGCCTGGCAAAACAACTCCCCCCGACCCCAGTTTAAACTTAGTTCTTTGCTCAGGCCCATTGGTGAAGTTTAATTTATCTTCTGTGAACAGCTAAGAGAATGTGAGACTTTAAATTGAAATGCTCATTCTGGGGATATAGCTCAGAAGGAAAGCATTGTCTACAGTATGCAAGACCCTGGATTCCATCCCCAACAGTACAGGACAAATACAACAGAAACATGAATGTAGTTCAAATAGAAATATTCTGTTAAAGTGTATATAGTAAACCCCAGGATGCTATTAAGAAAGTTACAATAGACCAGGTGTGGTGGCACATGCCTTTAATCCCAGTACTTGGGAGGCAGAAGCAGTCAGATCTCTGAGATCAAGGCCAACCTGATCTACATGGTAAGTTTTAGGATAGCTGGGACTATAGGGAGCTCTTGTCTCAAAAAAAAAAAAAAAAAAAACTGGAAAATCATAAATTGGAAGGCTACAGCACAAAAGAAAGGAAGAAGAGACCCAAAATGATGGGAGACCATCAGAATGCAAAAATCAAGTTGGAAACTATAATCCAACTCTATCAGTAATAAGTGTAAATGTGAATGCACTAGACAGTCCAGTTGGACAGCGAGGATTATTAAGCTGGATAAATACAATAGAGAATAGAAATGTCATAGGAAAAATTAGTGAAATGAAAAGGGTTTTATTATTTTGTTCATTTTGTGTATCAGAGAGAGCATATATGCAGGTGTGAGTGCATGTGAATGCCACAGTGTGTATGTGGAGATCAGAGAACAACCTTTGGGAGTTGGTTCCCGCCCTTGAGTCAGGATCTCATTTCTCCTTCTGTGCAGCAGCTGGATCTTGAGCTTCCAGCTACTTCTCCCCCATCTCCCTGTAAGAGTCCTGGGATTACAGGTGCAGGCCACTGCATCCAGCTTTTTTGCTGGGTTCCAAGGATTAAACTCAGGTCGTTATACTCATGTGGCAGGTGCTTTTTTACGCACTGAGCCATCCCCATCCCATCCTCTTCCCTTTTCTTTTCAATCAACAAATTAATGATCTTTTCTTGGATTGACCTCCCCCCCCAAAAAAATAGAGAAGACTCAAGTTATTGGAGTCAGAAATGAAGAGAGAACAGTAGTGCTAACCTTATAGAAATAATGATCATAAAAGAACCCCACGAATATCCACATGCTAATAAATTGTCAACTCAGGTAAAGTGAACAGATCACTAGGAAGCTCTTAGGTGGAGACGTGCCTGCCTAGTCCTGGACACTGCACTGTGTTTGCAGGACAGATCAGTAGGAGCTCCTAGTCATGGACACTGTTTTTGCAGGCTGCTGCCGTCTCCTCTCAAGGATGCTGTGGAGGTGACAACCTGGAGAAGGTGCTACACCATGCAGGAGGTGAACTCTGCCCTGAGCAAAATTCAGCTGGTGGGGTATTCTCAGAAAATTGTAAGTGTTATGTCCAGTAAGTAGCTCACGAATGTTGTCAGCTCATGTTGAGCCTTTGGAGAACTTTGTAGCTCTCTCTAACCATCTGTGATCTTTGTGCCTGTCCAAAGAAAAAAGAGTACCCATCAGTTGCCTCCACCCTTGCTTACTTCTTATTTTTTTAATTTTTAATTTATTTTTTATTTATGTGTATGAGTTTTTGCCTGCACATATGTCAGTGCTCCATGTACATGCCATGCCCACAGAGGCCAGAAGAGTATGTCAGATCCCCCAGAATTGGAATTATGAAAGGTTGTCAGCTGCTATGTGGGTGCTGGGAATTGAACCTGAGACCTTCTGAAGAACAGCAAGTGTTCTTAACCGCTAAACCATCTCTCCAGCCCCTTGCTTGTGTCTTAGTATATCCATGCTTAACCCCCTCATTTCCTGTCTCCAGCTAGTATTGGCTTAACCAGTTGGTGATGAGTCTGGAGAAAGGGATCTGTACCATCACCACAGAAGAAACCACACACCGCATTACCTGTGTCAGACTCCATTTTATTCTAGCCGACTTTTGTTCACCCCTAGGGCCCTCCCCCCTTGCTCTACTGACTGAGCTAGGCTGGCCAGTTTCTTGCAGGCAATACACTGTTACTACAATGCAGTGAAATTTACACTCAGTCAGGGAGAAGTTCTCCCTCAGCTACACCTGCATCTCCATGGAGCCCATTGTTTCTGCAACTTTGAGAAACTTGTTTTTCCTAACCAAAACTTAGAAACTTTTTGTTAATTTTTGAAAGCCTCTTTGTTAACTCACCTGCCCCTGTCTGGTGTAACTATAGTGATCTGATGTAACCATGGTTATTGATTTTGCCCCTGGCATGATGCAATTGTGGTTTTGAGCTTTATAAACCCTGCTCTGCCTCTCAGGGTTGAGAGTTCTCTTCGGCATTAGCCCACTCTGGACAGCTGGCTATTAAAAGGACTCCCAATTCGACCATCACTATGAGGCGCTCCTCTGTGCCTCTTGGTTGATATCACAAGTACAGTAGCAAACAGAAGCCATTTGACAAGATGACTTTGAGCTATGATCTAAATGATCAGGATTCCTGTTCTTCTGTTGACCCACAACTGGAGCCACACAGAACCACCAGGACCCTAACCTGAAGTCAAAAAGGGAAACCAATCTTTGGCTTGTTCTATTTGTAACATGACACCCTGTCTTTTAACTAGGTCCTGTATGCTGGGTGACAAAACAAGAGCTGGAAACTCTCAGGTGGCAAAGACTAAGGGATCGCTTCCAATCACTTCTGTTGTCTACATATGCATGATCTCCATTATTTTCATTTTCTTTCTGGTTTGCTTTAAAATAAAGATGTTTTTGTTGCTTTTTCCTACGAGTTTATGTACTGACCAGGTTGCTGATAACCCCATGTTCTCTGTGTGGTTCTTAGGAACTTTTTGGTGCCGTCCAGGTGACCCCTCTGAGCTCTGGCTACGCCCTGGGAAGCTCCAACTGGATTATCCAGTCACATTATGAGAAAGTGTCTTATGTCTCTGGATCCTCCTTGCTTACAACACACCCTCAGGTAACTTCTCTAACCACCAGCCTGTGGTTATTTAATCCAAACTCAGAATTTGTCCATCATTTGTTTTTAAATCATTCTAATCTTGGTTTCTTCTGTTACACTAAGAAAGTTAGACTGTTAGGGGTCAGCTCTAAGATCCTGATTCCCCAGTCCTCCCAAAGCCCCTAGCCTGATGTGAGACACAGAAGGTTGGTTTACTTAGCACATACTAACTGCTGAATACTTAACAAATGCAGGTGTCAGGCATTTATCTAAGCATCAGGGATTAAGTGACCACCAAGCAAGGTGTCTGCTCTGAATGTCATCTTCAGTGATGGTAGAGAAGGAGAGTGAACAGGACCAAAGATGAGTATAAGCTGTGTGGTCTGCAGCTGACACAAGTCCTTAGAACAACAGGCAGGCTTATTTCTAGAGTGAGGGAGGTGGTTTAGACTGGATGGTCAGAACTCCTCAGGAGTCATCCATCTGAAACCAGGATTGAAGAAGGAGCCGTGTGAAGTTGTGAGACAAAACACTGCAGAGATGGCTGATGAATGGCCCTGGACGGAACAGGCTGGGCGAAGGAAGAGCAGAAAAGGCCCTTGTGACTCCACACAGTGAGCCATGAGGCTGGGAGAGGAGCAAGACCAGATTGCATGGGCCTTGGTAGGCCATGATGAGTTCTGAATTATTCTGTTCATTCATTTCTTTTTTGGTGTGTGATTGTGGTATATGTATGTACTTGTCAGTATGAATGTGTGCAAGGCTGCACTCAGAAGTGGAAGAAAGAGGTCAAGGCCAGATGTCCTCCTCGATGGCTCCCCACCTTATTTTGTGACAGGGTCTCTTACTGAACCTGAAGCTCACCAATTTGGCTAGACTGTCTGGCCAGTGACTAGCTTCAGGGAGCCCCCTGTCTCCACCCCCACCTCCATAGGGTAACATAACAGGCATGTGCCACGAGCCTGGGCATTTGAAGTGGGAGCTGTGGATCTGAATGCAGGTTCTCATGCTTGTGAAGCCAGCACTTTCCACAGAGCCAGCTCCCCAGGCCCCCATTCCTTGACTGAAGTTTCTTGCTAAATTTCATACAGTATAATTTGAAGGTAATTATATTCTCTTCCCCCACCACCCTTTACCCAATTTAATATACTCTCTTGCAGATATAAAATATTGCCTGTAGAATCTGATTTGTGTGCCCAGATGTCCTTCAGTGTAGGTCAATCCATTGGGCCCACCAAGAGTCCTACCCCTGTAAGACACTGCCTTTCCTTCCCCCAGCAGCCATCAATTGCCAAAAGTTCCTTAGGTTGGGTTAGGATTATTAACTGCTTCCCCATGTCTATGTTGGAATTTTTGTCTGGTTTGAGCTTGTATAGGACTTAGCATGCAGTTACTATTGCTGTGAGTTCATATGAATAACTGACTGCCATCTGGAAGATTATTTCCTTGTGGTCACCCACCTCCTCTGACTCTTACAATCTTTCTGCCTCCTTTTCTGCAATGATTCCTGCACCTTGGGAGGCAGAGGTTTGAAATAGGCATCCTATTCAGGGATAAACACTCTGTGACCTCTTGGTTCTCTGCATATTAGCCAATTGTAGGTTTCTATGTTAAGCATCATCTGTTGCCTTAGAAAACTTCTCTGGTGAAAGATGAGAGATGCGTCCATCCTATGTTTAGAGGTTGCATTAAAGATGTGTCACTTAGAGTTAAGCATTGCGCAGACATTTTCTCTGCATTTGGCCAGTTCTGGAGCTCTGTTAAATGGTCTCCGTCTGCTGCACAAAGAAGCTGCTTTGATGAGAGGTGCAAGTACACGTGTCTATAACCATGAGGATGCATGTTTAGAACACAGTAAGAAATCACATTGGTCCAGCGATGTGGCAAAAGTAGATTCCTTTTCTAGGATCTATGACCTCTCTAGCCATGCTTTTTTTTTCTTTTTTTCCTTTTTGGCTATGTTTATAGTACCACACATAAGTTCTCTTTTATTGAGTGAGTCTTAATTCCAACTAGACAGCTGATGATCACCCCCAAGATAAAAGTGCCACTACTGCACTAATAGCAATAGTTTGCTGTGCCAGTCATTGTGTTTATTAGACTTTACAGCTGGGTGGGACCATTGACTGGTTTTCTCCCTTGGCAGCTTGTACAGTGTCCTCTGACACCATGAGAGCTGCTCTGTGGGGAGGAGCTTCCAGGTCAGCTCCAGCTCCATTGCTCCAAGGCCTGTTTCTGAAGTGTGGCCTGTCTTCCACAGTAGGATATTGCTTTCGTTTTCTCCTGATTGTACTTTAATGTGGAAAGTTTAAGCTAATCATGCATTAGTCGTATTTGGCAATAGCCTCTACTTAAACATTGCTGTGAATATACTACTTGATCCTTTTTTAGGCATTTGTAAAGAATTCACTGTTTATTTTATAAATCCTGGTTCTTTGACGTTTGTAAGGATGGGTGGTCTAGAAACCACTTGATGAGTGTATAGGTAACTTGTAGGAGTCTATCACATTTTATCTTTTTAAATTCACTAATTTATGAATATAACCAAGATTTTATTGTCTTCATAATAAAACAAAAGATTGAGCTTAGAACTAGATCACCTGGGTGCTTCTCTTTTCTTTGTAATTTCTGCCATTTTCTGGAAAATGGCTTTGGGCTAGGCATGGTGGCGCATGCCTTTAATCCCAGCACTCAAGAGGCAGAGGCAGGCAGATCTCTGTGAGTTCAAGGCCAGCCTGGTCTACATAGAGAGACCAGGTTCCAAGTCAGCTGGGGCTACAGGGAGACTCTGTCTCAAAAAAATAAGAACAAAATTTGCTTTGGTTTACATATCACAGCAACCCTTCTTTCTATCATGAATTGCTTTCTCTGGGTATATAGAGGATCCTTGCCCCTTGTACCATGTCCCTTTACGGCTTTAGTACTTGGCACACTTCTTACAAAAAGTCCCTCGTGCTGTATTTGTGTCAAATAAGTTTATGGTATAAACATATTTATACACCTTACAGAATGGCTGACTAAAGCTGCATTAACATATACCATTTTCAAAGAGGAAGGCAAGTCTGTGTTCTAGCCTGAACAGCAGGTGCTTCTTATCTGCCATACTACAGTTTGTTCATACTTATTTGGACAGGGACGTATGTAACCCAAGCTGGCCTTGAACTTAATGCATTAAGGATGACCTTGAACTCCTTCCTGATCCTCCTGCCTCTGCCTCTGAAGGGCTAGGATTACAGGCATGCACAACCACCCTGGCTTATGCCTTTTTTATAACCAAGCTTTAGCTCAAGGTCTAGAGGGGACAAGTTGCTATTTTTTCCTGTAGCCAGCAGAATTCTGGGCCCTTCCCGCTTATTGAGATCAAAATCCCACCAATGTCATCATAATCTGCCTCATTGAATCAAAATTTTTATTGGCAACTTCTTTCATTCTTGATGTATTCTCCCTTAAAAGACAGAGGGATGACTTGGCTGCCTGTTTGTCCTGCTTAGATCAAAGCCTTTACAGTTCTGTTGACGTAATTTCCAGTAAATTATTCTTACAAAGTCCATAAATTTAAAGGGAAAATAAGGTCTTGAAAGTAATGAGCAACATACCTAAGTAATTAGTTTTAATTTCTAGCTGGCACCGTGTTATACATGACAAAGGAAAAAACAGCTTTACCTTCATCCACATTGTTGGTTTTATATTGAATTAACAGGGATTTTTTCAAAAGTTTTAGTTTGTTTTAATGCCTGGTGTGGTGGCGCACACCTTTAATCCCAACACTTGGGAGGCAGCGGCAGGCGGATCTTTGTGAGTTCAAGGCCAACCTGGTCTACACAGGGCGTTCCAGGACAGCTGGGCTACAGGGAGACCCTGTCTCAAAAAGACAAAAAAAAAGTTTTAATTTGGGGGTTGGAGAGATGGCTCAGTGGTTAAGAGCACTGACTGCTCTTGCAGAGGACCCAGGCATCCTGAGTTCAGTTCTCATGACTCACATGATGAAAAGGTGAGAACTGACTCCTCTAAGTTGTCCTCACACCTCCACATACAGCACAAAATAAATGAAAATTTCAATGTAATTCACAAAATTTAAAAAGAAGCATTTATTGATGTCAGCCATATTTAGGGAAGGAAAAATAGAATTCAGAGATTCTGTGTGTGCATGACATTAAGAACAGGGACATCTCTTTGGCAGCATTGGCAAGGTGACCATTTAGCTCACAAGTGGGCCACAGATGTGATGGGCATGAGCTTGAGAGAATATTGGGCAGAAATTGTTGGGGAACCCTGTTGTTAAGGCTGCAGTGGAGCTCGGTGCTAGATGGAGGACCCCCTTTCTCCGCAGGGGCTTCCTGCTCTCTGTCTGACCTTATTTGGAACATGACCTTTGGCATAGTTACCTACAAGAGCTACCCCTAGGTTTTTCCTGTATGATAATCAGGCATTGTACTAGAGCCAGGCATTCCCGCCTCCCCTCTCTACATGATAGGGTCCTCCTGCCACATGCAAATAGAGCATGCTACGAACACCTATCACACCTATTGAGTGACGCTTTGGCTGCGGTCTTCACCCTATATTTTCCCCCAACCCCCACTGAATAAACGAGCTGTTTCACTGAAGCTGACTCCCTGAAGGTCTTTTCCGTCATACTTACGGGCCGTCCTGACCCTGCTCGCTGCCTCTGCTCCCTTTGTCCTCTCAGATCAGTGGCCAGCGACCCACGAGGGAAGGGAGAGACCCACAAGAAATAGAGCGTGGGAACCTGGAACTGAAGGGAAGTCTGGAAACGAACTGGAGAGTAATCACACTTTTTGTCTTTTTTTTTTTTTTTTGAAGCAGGGTCTCCCTGTAGCCCCAGCTGTCCTGGAACTCACTATGTAGACCAGGCTAGCCTTGAGCTTGAGCTCACAGATATCCGCCTGCCTCTGCCTCTCAAGTGCTGGGACTACAGGCATGCGCCACCACGCCCAGCTACACTTTTTAAATTATATAAATAGAAGGCTGAAGACCAGCAATTCATCTCTTAGAAACAT